TATGGTTGAACGGAAACCTGTCCGTGAGTCGCGCGTCGATAGTGTTAATGCACTAACACTATCGACGCGCGACTCACGGACAGGTTTCCGTTCAACCATAATGTATGATTGGCCTGTTTTGAACCTTTTTATCTAAAAAAACTACTGCTCGGAACGAAAAATGGCAAATAACTTTTTAATTTATTTTTTCGACGACTTTCTTGCTATGGTATTTTGATTCGCGAATTTCAGGACACCCTGTATATATATAATATTTTTGCAACAGTCAGAAATTTTCTGAGCTAAGATCGGATTATTATTTTAGTGGAATAATTCAATTTCAGCACTTCCAACAGTTGTAAAAAATATTCCGCTAAACGCGACCAATGTGAACTCAGTGTAATTTAACAGTGTTTCCTGAATGTTGAATTGTAACGTTTACAGAGACATTACAATTCAGCGGACATCAGACGTTTTTGCAATATCTTTTCAATGTTGAATCTATACATTTCGTAACGTTAATGCAATATTGCAATGCAATGGAACGTTTCTGAGATGTTGATTCAACATTTGTGTGCTGTATGGGTGTGCTATCTGAGTACAACTATACTTGCTGGCTGCTGTTTGTAAAAAGAAAACTAATATTTCTTTCTATTTACAGAATGTTAATTTAATTATTCCATGATTACAGAGCGACCCAGCGAGAAATGGCCCGTCGAAACGATGTCGAATAATTTCTCACTGGGGAACCTTTCTATCGAATTATGATTTTTCTATCGACAGGCGAAATAATTCCCGTTATTATTAGAGATGTGGACGATCTTCTAAATTTAAAAAGGTTACACGACGCTAATAAATTGGATAGTCGAGAATAATCGATCCGTAGCTCAGTCGAAACATCTCGATTAGTCGAGCACTGGATAGGTTTGTTTTCTGTTCCTGCACTGGTGAACTAATACCATAAATTCGAGTAAGTTCTATCGGCTATTACGATTAACAGTCAATCCCTATTGACTATTCTAAAAGGTTAACGTTCGGTTAGTTATTATTAAAAGCTGACAGACATTGGAAATAGTGGGGCCCTAAGGTTAGCTTGATTTCTAACCTAAAATTGCCTGAAATCTCTAAGGCCCGGTCTACAATGAGTCGTTAGTCGTTAATCAGAAGTCGCAACTATATGTTGATCCTTTTCCTTTCTGGGTGGAAGAAAAAGGACCGACATATAGTTCCGACTTCTGACTAACGACTAACAACTCATTGTAGACCGGGCGTAAAGCTTGCAATTTGTTTCAATGAAATAGGTGAGAATGTAAAATTCACATTTTTAGTTGATATAAGAATCAACCTGGAAGCAGTTATCCCTATATTTTCGTTCACCTCTTCATTATAAATATATGTTTTAACAATTGTCCAATAATATATGCGCTTCGCACAATTTATAATCGTACCGTGATCCAAGTACCTCCACGAACTGTCGTTCATATGTTTTTCTTATTTAAAATATTTTTACTAAAAGCATTACATTCCTTAATACTGTCACGCATTTTTGCAGGATGCCTACGGAATCGAGAAAGAGCCCGTCGTCGTGGCAGCAGTGCGACAAATGCCGATGCGCTCTGCCGCAAAAAGATGTTTCCCTGCACGAAGTGCCCGCCCTCCGCAGAAAATTAGGACCATCCCTTCGTCCGCAACGGCGTTTTGTATAGCACGATGGAAGTCTTCCAAACGCAAGGTGTGCAGCCACTCGATCCACGATATGTAGGATATTGAAATGACCTATAACCACATTTCCGAGATGCTAATGACATGATTTTTGTGTCGCAGTTCACCTTGCAACTGTGCAAGATCGACGATCGGCTCGCCGAGCGTAGTCGGGACGATGAACGAGGTGGTTGTCAAGACAGCCTGGCTGACTAACGACAAAAGTTCGACAAGTGTTTCCCTAACGAAGCACGGTGAGTCGACTAATGTCCGCTTCTACCGATGTGGATTAAGGCCCGGTTTTATCAACGTTGTTCAACTTTAAACTTAACTTAATTCGTTCTTAGTCTCTTTCTAAAGTAACAATTGGAAAGAGACGAAGAACGAATTGACTAAGCTTAACGTTAAGCAACGTTGGTGAAACCAGGCCTGACTGTAATCTCGGTTTAATTTATTTTCAAACTCTTAGGGCTAGTTTCACAAACGTCGGTTAACTGCTAACCGAAGGTTAACTGATCCTCTGTCTCTTCTTAGAGAACAAGATAGAAAAAGATAGGGCGTTGACTGAACTCTAGTTAACAGTTAACCAACGTTTGTGAAACTGGCCCTTAGGTCCGGTTTCACCAAATGTGGTTTAACTTTAAACTTAGCCTCTTTCCAACTGACGCTTTAGAAAGAGACAAACGTGAATTAAGCTGAGATTAAAGTTAAGTGACGTTTGGTGAAACCGGGCCTTGAGGTAAGTTCATTTGAAACGCTTAATTATTTCCATTGCTACATCGCGCGATTGTTCGCAGGGCCCGCAGCTATTCTCGAAATGAGTGGGAGAGTCGGAGAAGGCTATGAGAGAAGTGTTTCGAAAAGCGAGGCAGATCCATCGTATTCATCGACGAGATAGACGCGCTGGGCGGTGAGAGAGTCTCGTCTTCCGGTGGTAACGGCAGCAACGTACAGGAACGAGTGTTGGCCCAGTTGCTGACCGAACTCGATGGTGTTACCGCTTTAGGTAACGTCGCGCTAGTGGCGGCTACTAATCGACCGGACGAAATTGACACAGTAATATCTCTCGTCTTATATCGTTGATAAAAGTATAATTAAATGTGGTGAATGAATGAAAAACCAAGAAAAGAAAAATACTTAACAAAACTTTTATCTTGGCATTACTCAGACGCTTATTATTCAAGAGTAATCATTGAATTTACATTTGATTAGTCCTTAACAATTAAATTCTTTCTATCCTTTCTAAAAAGAGGCAGAATAAATTTAGCAGTGTATGAAAAAGATGTCGAAGAACAGCATAATAATTACGAAACAGTCGCGAGACTATAAATATGTGAAAATAATTAATCCTTCGAATATTTCAACATTTTCCTGGTCTGCTGCTCTAAATATATTAAAATAATTAATCCTTCTCTCGAATATTTCAACATTTTCCTGGTCTGCTGGTCGAAAGGTTACACTGGCGCGGAAATTGAAGCGATATGCTGCGAGGCTGCTGTGAAGGCGTTGGAGGAGGATCTGGACGACAGTGTCGTTACCAAAGAACACTTCATCGCTGCATTTAGAGACATCACTCCCGGAACACCCGATTCCCTCATGAAGATTTACGAGGACTACATGAATAAAACTCTATGAAAGTCTCAAGGATCTGTACGAAATAATATTTTATATTTTTACTGCGAGATAAAGCGATCGAAAGATCTTTTGGGTTTCAAAGAACGGGAGCGAGACGAGTCTGGTAGATTCGGACTTGTAGATTCGATCGGCTAATTAATTGATTGCAAGTCAAGATGTTGGAGACTTTTCCTTGAATTTACAGATTGTACGCTACAATTTTTATTCTTTTTTTTTGTAGTATCTTGGGTGTTATGCTTCGTTTCCCTTCAAGTCCAGTCAACGCGTTTGTTCGTTCGCTGAAAACTTACATGACGCGCACGCATCTTGATCAGTTTTGCGATGTATAATGTACGATATACGGCGTTTAGAATGCATAATTTATTTCCTCGATGACATGGAAACTTGATGCGACTCGTAGTTATCGATAGCACCCGGAAACGGTGCAGACAACCCGGTAAGCAACTTGTCCGCAGTATAACAGATTGCTAGCGGATTTGCTCGGATATTGCGACAGATCCGGTATCTGTTAAACTCATGTTTTGCCGATACATGTCCGTTTCCATCAAAATGCAGCGTAACTTCAATCCCTCTTAAACTTTATATCTTTTTCTAGTTTTACAAATTAGAGAAAATAAGAAGTAATTTGAACCGAGATTAAAGTTAATCTGCATTGATAGAATCGAGCAACAATCTGACTGCTGAAATTCCGCGGTCAACCTGATATTATTTCTGTTATATTTCCGCCGGCATTTTATCGACAAAATTTGTAGCGCAAACAACTTTGAAAATCTCTATTCTCGACAGACCTGGCTGTCCACTGCGCGCGATAGTAATCATATTTAAATAATTGAAACGGGGAAACTTATAGTCAACCCAGCAGTATTGCTTGATAAGGATAAAAAAATGGGGTCGAAGCGTTGTAAACTAATAAAGTAACTACTAGCCAGTTGAGTTGACTGTAAGTTTCCAGTTTCAATTGTTTAATCATTACCGGTGGCTATAAGGAAACTTTCCTTTCGTTCGTACTTAAATACATCATTTTTAAATTGTCGCGAGACGATAGATTCCACTCAGAGTTTTCGCGGCCAACTTGCCGTTATATTTCTGTTAAATTCCCATCGACATTCTATAGGCAAAATTTGCAACGCGGACAACTTTCCAAATCTGGCTGTCCACTGGCGCGCGAGAGTAATCATATTTAAATAATTGAAACGGGGAAACCTATAGTCAACCCAGCAGTACTGCTTGATAAGGATCCAAAAAATGGGGTCGAAGCGTTGTAGTAAACTAATTAAGTAACTACTAGCCAGTTGGGTTGGCTGCTAGTTTCCCGTTTCAATTTTTTAATCATTACCGGTGACTACAAGGAAACTTTCCTTTCGTCCGTACTTAAATACGTCATTTTTAAATTGTCACGAGACGACAGATTCCGCCCAGAGTTTTCGCGGTCAACTTGCTGTTA